AACTCCCCATGGTAAACCCCTGGGCTAGGCCTCAAAACCAGGTAGGCTCCGCTTCTGAGCTTTCTCATTTGTCAGTCTACATTAACCATTTCCATCCCCTTGTACGAACATAATCACAAGGGATGGGCAAACGCCGCAGGTACCTACCTGAGAGATGCCGGAACTGAGTTCCAGTGAGTTCCAACAAAAATTAATAAGAAAAGAGAACCTACCCCCGTGATGCTGACATGAAAACCTTGCACATACACTGTGTAAAATAATGGAATTTCCCTGCCCTGCTTCTCTCTGCCCTGCTTTCTCTCCCCATCTCTCTTCTCACCTAACTTTATGCTGTCTATTAAATTAGTGTCTCACATAGAATGTAACTGATCAGTAGAAAGGACTCTATGAACTGAAGCAGAGATACTGTATGCAGTTCTAATTTTCTAGAAAAAGAGGTGTCAGAATTCACCATGAACACCTCCCTCGGTCTCTTAGAATAGCAGTGGCACTCACCTGAGAGGTGCCAGAACAGAGTTCTGGTGAGGTCTGGCTGAAAAAAGAAAAGCCCTGGCTATATGTACTTTTGTGACCCAATGAAATATTGAATAAAAACAACAGTAATAAAAAATAATAATAGAATACTTTTCATTTTATTGCTAGCAGACATCCAATGTGTTGGACAGCCTGTAAAATCCAGGTACAATTGTATCTCCCAACAATACATTGTTTTTTTAATAAAGGGATGTTCCCCCCCCCTTTGCCAATTCATCTGTGCCAATTCATCAGATGGCACAAGTTAGCCCGGACCCATTGTCTAGCGTAGAATGATCGTGATATAAGGCAATTGAGAGTTAGGGGCCTGGATCAATACACAAGGCATCGCTTTCTTTCTGTGCGGTATGTTTTAAAATGTTTGTTTGAAAATCCACAATTAAATGCCGCAACAGAAATGGAACATTCATATGCATTTAAATCACTTATTATAGATTTTGAAAGTTTTTATACAATTATGAGTTATGAGACTTCAGCATCCTAATTGGACAGCAGGACAGATGGGTAAAGACTTATTTAGGAGTGATGACTCCATTAGCCTAACCCCTGCTATTCAATGGCTATTTGTTTATTCCTTTCTATTCTAATCATTACTCTCCCTGGAGCCTTTTAGAAGAAAAGTAAAAGTTTGGAGGAAATATTTATTTTGAATCGGGGTCACAATGACCTCGGTTAACAGTATATTTTTTTGCCATTCTTTCTGCATTCTTATACAAAGGCTTGAACATACAAATCATGACGATGAATAACACATCCTGCAGCTATTGTGTGGCATCCTCCTACATAATTGTGCACCTTTTGTCTCACTCACACAAAGCCATTTGCAGTCTTCCTCTTACAGATTTTGCATGAACTAACCCTGGTGACCCTTAGCAGTTTGCAACCTGTTTATAATTTCTAAGTATTGTTCATATTTCCGGAGCTCTACGCATAATAAACAGGAAAAACAATCCATTATGGAGTTTGTCTATATTTTTACAATGGCAAGGGAAACTTCAATTAGCTTGCAAAATGAGTGTTGGATACTGGAGTGAGGAGAGCGTTGCGGAGGCAGCTGACAGCAAAGTTTTTTCATTTGCAGATTTTCTATCCTGCTTTTCTAAAGTGGGGGTGGGGGTTGATTTCATTCATTATGAGGTAGCAATTAAGGTCAAAGGGTACCAGAATGCAAGACCTAAAATTGGTCAACAAGCCTTAAAGGTAAAGGTAAAGGTAAAGGGACCCCTGACCGTCAGGCCCAGTTGCGGATGACTCTGGGGTTGCAGCGCTCATCTCGCTTTACTGGCTTTGGGGTCATGTGGCCAGCATGACTAAGCCACTTCTGGAGAACCAGAGCAGTGCATGGAAACACTGTTTCCTTCCCATTGGAGCAGTACCTATTTATCTACTTGCACTTTAACGTGCTTTCGAACTGCTAGGTTGGCAGGAGCAGGGACCGAGCAACGGGAGTTCACCCCATCGTGGGGTAAGTACATGTCATCCCTAGTGATAACAAATGTGTTATTGAGCTAGGGACACGGGACTAGTACATTTGAAATGTCCTTAAGTCTAGTTAGGAGAATTTGGAGCCATTGTTGCTTCTTTTCCAGCCATGAGTTAATCATCCAACCATGTGCTGTTGCATCCTGTTGAGCAGTACAGTTTAGCAGACAGGGATTGCTGGAGACACTGAGCAAAAAGCATTCGCCTCACCATGCTCTGCCCATTTGAACCGCACTAAGAACACAATTACTTTAAACCGATGGCATCGCAACAAATGGGCATGGCACCTCTCAGGTGCATACTGTACATTACTTTCTCAAGCAATCTGGGAGGACAAGAGGAGGAGAAACATCAACGTGCCCTTCAGCCTGAGCCTTGAAACGTCTTGATGAGAACATTTGAAAATTGTCAAATCGCTCCTTCACATGTCCCAGTACAACTATCAATTGAAAGATGCCCTTGAAACAAGCAGATCACGGTCTGCTTGATTGAAGGGATGTGAGGAACGAAACATCCTAATTTGCTTTATGTTATCTGGTGCATATTTAAATGATGGATCTCTCAAAATACTGGAAATGACACGGGGCTCCTTAATAAAAGTCTGCCTAGTACGATAAGCAATGAAACTTGAAAATTGTGTTGACACTTCAGGCCAATCCATGTGACCCTTCAGCATGTTGCTGGCTCTCTACTTTCTCGCTGGGCTAATCCTTTTTGTCAGGCCAGATTCTAGGTCTCCTGGAGCAGAAGTAGTCTATATGTGGCACAAGCAGCAGTAGTCCAACTTGCCACGGAACACATGAATTGGATTCCACTTCATATAGGAATTAGAGACCCAGGGTGCAGATTATTTATATTTTTAAAAATGTTCCATTGGCTAGAATGCATCCACAAATGATTCTTGCATGCCTGTATTTTGTGACTCTTATGCTTTCCTTCTACACTGCATTCCATCTCTCCCATTTGACCCTGAAAGTTGCACAAAAGTCGGGTAGTTGTTTATTTCCTTGACATATAATTGGAGGGCATTCCACAGGGCAGGCGTCACTACTGAGAAGGCCTTCTGCCTGGTTCCCTGTAACCTCACCTCTCGCAGTGAGGGAACTGCCAAAAGGCTGCTGATACCATATAACACCGGTCCTGAAAGACCTTCATTGGCTCCCTGTATGTTTCCGAGCACAATTCAAAGTGTTGGTGCTGACCTTAAAGGCCCTAAATGGCCTCAGCCCAGTATACCTGAAGGAGCTTCTCCACTGCCATCATTCATCCCGGACACTGAGGTCCAGCTCTGAGGGCCTTTCCTCACTGCGAGAAGTGATGTTACAGGGAACCAGGCAGATGGACTTATTGGTAGTGGCACCTGCCCTGTGGAATGTCCTCCCATCAGTCGTCAAGGAAATAAGCAACTACCTGACTTTTAGAAAACATCTGAAGGCAGCCCTGTTTTAATGTTTGAAGTTTTATCGTGTTTTTAGTATTCTTTTGGGAGCTGCCCAGAGTGGCTGGGGAATAAATAAATTATTGTTGTTGTTAATGTGTTCCTATGCCAGTTGTGAGTTAGCACCAGTGTCTCCTTGAGAGGTTCCAGAAACAGATACAGTGGTACCTCAGGATGCGAATGGGATCCGTTCTGGAGCCCCATTCGCATCCAGAAGCAAATGTAACTAGCAACAGCACCTCTGCGCACACGTGCGTCGCTTTTCGCCGCTTCTGCGCATGCGCGTGACATCATTTTGAGCATCTGTGCATGCGCAAGTGGCAAAACCTGGAAGTAACATGCTCTGTTACTTCTGGGTTGCTGTGGAGCACAACTCGAACGCGCTCAGCATGAAGCATATTCAGTCCGGCGTATGACTGTATGGGAAAGGAATGTCAACAGTCCTCGTTGAAGGTCTGGTTGCCTAGATAAGTTGTAAAGCTGAGACCACATGTTTTGGAACAACCCAAGGAAGTTGATATCTGTAAGAAGACATGCACATTTTGCATCCCATGACTTGTAACCTCGCCTTTCTTGATGTATGCAGAATGATGTTTAAAGATGTTTTGATGACTCTCTGTGTGCTGTGTGTCAGTAGCCTATATAAGCTTTGTTCTGAAGGGTAGTCCTTCTAACTAGCAGCTGAGCAACTGTTTGGCAAGGCTGTTCTGTTGCAATAGATTTAATTTAAATGCTGGGTCCCTCCTGGATGCTGGACTTGAATTAGTTTCCTTGGTTCCATGGGCAACGAACAAGGTGGTGTAGAAACAAATGCTAACCCCACACTTGGTGGATTCCATATGTACAGTCATACCTCGGGTTACAGACGCTTCGGGTTGTGCAATTTCGGGTTGCACACCGTGCCAAACCCGGAAGTACTGAAACGGGTTACTTCCGGGTTTCGGTACTTGCACATGCGCAGAAGTGCTAAATCGTGCTTTGCACATGCGCAGAAGCGCTTAATCGCAACCCACACATGTGCAGATGCAGCACTGCAGATTGCGAATGCTGCGGGTTGCGAACTTGCTTCCCGCACAGATCACATTCGCAACCCAAGTGTCCACTGTACATGGAATCTGTCTTGGTAAGGGGCTGTAGAAAAACCCAAGACTGGTTATTAGCCTCCAAACTGTCAGTATTTTGTGGGAGGGATACAAGTGCATATTAAAACTTTTCATATTTAAAGTGGTTTAAACATTTAAAGTGGATTAAAGTCCTTTGTTGTCCTGGCACAACAAATTCTTTTTTCCCCGACTTGGAAAGTGATTGGGGAAATTCATTTTTTTAAAGTCTATTTATTTACTACATTTATATCCCAGCTTCCCTCCTAAGAGCTTGAGCTGGCATACATAGTTCTTGCTGCTCCACATCAACAACCTTCAAGGTTGAAGGACTCAGCAAGCTTCAAGGCTGAATGGGGATCTGAACCCTGGTCTCCCAAGTCCTAACTCTGACCACTAGAGAATGCTGTGCTGAAAAGTGTAGAACAGTATTTCCCAACCTTGGGTCTCCAGCTGTTTTTGGACTACAACTCACATCATCCTTAGCTAGCAAGTGGTCAGGGATGATGGGAATTGTAGTCCAAAAATAGCTGGAGACCCAAGGTTGGGAAACCCTGGTGTAGAATGAACAAATGATTAATGAGAAGGCATATAGACACTCCACAAGCAAACCCTGAATACATGCAAACCTGTATCAAAAACATCCTATGTTTTATCTCACAGATGACTGATTAAGCAAAATACTAGAGTCTTCTGAAAATAGGCATTTATTACATATTTTGACAGTTACAAATGTAATTGGGTTTTAATGCATGTTGAATGAAAAATGCAGCTATACTTTTTGCTGAACTATTATTAATATTTTATATTGTACTATTATAGTACCATAATGGTATTATTTTTCCCAGTGTCCCTTGTAGAATAGTAGTCCATATTGTCTTTGTACTCGGAACATGGAGCTGAGCTTGGAAATGCAAATTGAGCACAAAAATGTTCAGTTGCTAGCATTTATCACACAGCATCTAGAATTGATTCCAATACGCTAATGACGTCTAACATCCCCCTACTGAGAGGCAGTACAAAGGTTTTATAAATGATCCTCTTTAAAATATATTAGAGCTACTGAGTCTTTTGCTGCCAGCTTTTTGTTATCATTCCTTCCATCCCTTAGGAAACATTAATTCCCACACCCTCTGCTAATGTGAATTGGCATGGCATTGAGTTCAATCAAACTCATAGAGCAAGACTTGAAGCAGCATGGATTGTGGTGACTTCACTTGCTCTTAAAATGCAAGAGTTGCGGTATTTATGACTTGCATTTCCAATCCCACAAATTTAAATCCATGGCCTGTGCCGTGTCTGGAGGTGGATAGAACACAAGTTAAAAAGCAAGCTGATTACATTTCACAAATTTTGACGCAGATTTTTCTGCTTGGTCTTACTTTGTGCTTGTGCCTATGTGAATGACAATATCTTACCTTGCTTTGTTAAGAATATGCTAGTGAACCAAGCTCGAAGTTTCCCCACAAATGATAACTCCATCACCTTCATATATGTTTACTCAACTGACACATGTATGGGGTCTTTAGGTGACCATCTTAATGCATCCCAAGGAGTTAGACATCTTTGTATGCTGCCCGTACATATCTGAACTGATAAGTGAAGCCTGCCATCCTATTTATTTTACAGTATTGTGACTGTAGACCACATGTTTTTCTTGAATGCTTTACCTGTTTTACTTCCTACAGTGTGTATGTAGAATTAAATGCATGTTTTGTTGAAATGTTTCCCAGCATAGAGAAATCTCTGCCCACATGCACAAATTTTAGGATGGTAGTTAAGCTGGAAAGCTCAGTCGGTAGGGCAGAAGACTCTTAATCTCAAGGTTATAGGTTCAAGCCCCATATTGGGCAAAAGATTCCTGCATTGTAGGGGTGACCCTCAAGGTCCCTTCCAACTCTACAATTCTATGATAATTTCTTTGCACCCTGAAATTTTCCCCTGCCCACACTTTTTGTTCCTTTGTATTTCATGAGGGAGTCCAAGATCTACTGTACATTTCCTCCTCCTTATTAAGTTATGACTTCTTTATAGGGTGGTCACATGCCCTATTTTGCAGAGGAGAGTCCTTTGTTTGAAGATGTTATCCAGTGTATTTCTATTTAAATTATAGCATTTATTTCTAAAGGTACACCTATCCACACACAAACATAAGTAGATGTCAGGCTTCAGGGAATCCGACCCCCCTCCCTCACGGTTGGCAGCCAGAAATGGGAAAACAAGAGGTTCTTACCAAGTCTTTTATTAAATATTTACAGAGAAAGACATAGGCATACCGTCCCTCTTGGATAATGGCATTGCTCCAAGTAAAGTCCCACCCCCTCCGTCTCTCCTATCATATATCATCCCTGTGCTGGTTGATCTGTGCTTTCTGCTTCTAAGTTTTCTGTTCTTCTACTCTCAATGCTCACCAGGACCTGGGAGAGGGGGGTCTGGCATTCTTTCCAAAGACACTGAGTCTGTCAGATGTCTCTCCCCTGGTGGTGCTTCTTCCTCCTGCTCCTCTTCCAATATTTCCCAGCTTCTCCCCTCTGCAGCCTCTGAACTGTGACCTTCTACAAACCACTGTTCTAAATCTATACTGTCTTCCTCTTCTTTGGGAAGTGCAGGAGGAGGGGAGGGTCGGTCTCCCCCATTCCTCCTCAGTCCAGTCCCTGAAAACAGAACCCAAAGTCCCATCCAGCATCTTGCTATCACAGTGGCTCACCAGGTGCCTAAAGGAAGCCCAGAAGTAGGACCTGAGTGGACCAGTGCCCTCCCCATGTCTGATTCCTGACAACTGGCATTCAGGTACAACATAGCCATCATGGTTGGTAGCTATTGATAGCTGTATCCTCTATGAATGTGTCTAATTCTCTTTAAAGCCATCCAAATTGGTGGACATCACTATCTCTTGTTCTATAGTTTAATTATGTGATGTGTTCTTCCAACATTCAACTTGGTTGGCTGGCTCCAGATTCCAGTAGCATGACAACCCACTTTTTCAACATGGTTCATAATTTTATACTCCTCTATCATGTTCCCCTTTACTCTCCTTTCCCCCTCCCTCAACTAAAATGCCCCAAATGCTGTAACCTTTCCTCATAGATGTTCCAACCCTTTAATCGCTTTGGTTGCCCTTTTCTGAACCTTTTCCAGCTCTGTAAATAAATTAGCATGTGCAAATGTTATGCATATTTGTGTCCCCCTTTTTGATGATGTGTAAGGTTACTATGCGGATGGCACTGTGGGTTAAACCACTGTGCCACTTGGCCTGCCGATCAAAAGGTTGGCGGTTCAAATCCACGTGATGGGGTGAGCTCCCGTTGTTCGGTCCCAGCTCCTGCCAACCTAGCAGTTCGACAGCACACCAGTGCAAGTAGATAATTAGGTACTGCTCCAGCGGGAAGGTAAATGGCATTTCCGTGTGCTGCTTTGGTTTCGCCAGAAGCGGCTTAGTCATGCTGGCCACATGACCCGGAAAAACTGTCTGTGGAAGCGGACAAGCGCCGGCTCCCTCGGCCTGTAAAGCGAAATGAGTTCCGCAACCCCAGAGTCGTTCAAGACTGGACTTAATTGTCAGGGGTCCCTTTACCTTTACTTTTAAGATTACGACCTTCCTCCTATTTCACTAGATGCTTGCCAGTTTGTAGCCAGGATCTGATTCTCAGGTCTTCTTATTCCCCGAAGCCAGACTGCTCTACTTTCACACTCTTGTTTCTTCTTTACCGATATAAGGCTGGTTTCTTGTTTGGCTAAGGAGTGTTCTTACCCTCTTTATCAAACACTGTGCCTGCTCTTTTGCTTTGGTTTTGTGGAGTCTAAAAAGCTTCATAAACACTGTATTGAATCACAGGGGCTCTTTGATACATTAGGCAGCAGAAATACAAGTCTGTGACAAAGTAAGGGCCAGTCAACACATTACGTGGAGGTAACTTTCCCCTGATATTTTGGTGGGGGTGGGGTGGGGTTTTTTTTACATATGATGAAAACCAGTCTTTTAAAATTGCAATCAGGAGCAGAGGAAAGGAGGCTGGAGAAATGATTCCAGACCCATTTCCTGCCAGCTGCTTGTCCTCTAAACACAACAACAATTGATCCATCAAACAAAATTGCCACCTACCTTCCTCATCATGTGTAATTTGGCTGTACACATCAAGTGTACCTGCATGATACACATCTTGAAAAAAACACTTGTTTGTTGCATCCAGTGCTATTTTTCTAGCAAAAGAGGTGCTGGAACTCACCATGAACACCTCCCTTGTTCTCTTATAATGGCAATGGAGCCCACCTGAGAGGTGCCAAAACTGAGTTCCTGTGAGTTCTGGCTGGGAAAAAAAGCCCTGGTTGCATCCACACTTTTGATAAAGCATGTTCTCCTTCAAAGAGAGCACGTGTTGCGGTGGGGTCTGAACAGGCCACCCCTCTGTTGCTAGGTGGGTTAGTATGGATGACCATCCGCAGTGATTGGGCGGTTGGGTTACTGGGCAAATTTTGGTGTTGCCATTTAGGGGGACGGACCAAAGGTCATAAAATCAAGTCACGCAGCACTGACTGGGCTCTTTTGCTGCATGCATCGGATCACCCACCCACCCTCCCTAATCTAGGGCTATTGCCTTGACCTTGCTATGCCTGTCATGGGGTCGTCTGCTCTTGGGGCAGGGGCCTGGTAGGAATTTTGTCCATCTGGCTGATTGGCTGGGGCCATTTGGTTTTTGCCTACTGCGTACCAAATCGTCACAACTTGTAAGGTTGCGGTTAGGCATTGGTTAAAAAATTGGTGGAGGGGTAAGTGCCTGCCCCTCCAATGCTGCTGCAGAAAGGGAATTCCATTAAAGGAATCTAGGGGCTTGCCATTCTTTCGTCCGTACCCCTGAATAGGGTTTAGGGCCACTCAAGCCCCCGGGAGCATGGGGGGGATGAGGGTCTGGTGCCCGGCTCCATGCTCTCCCCAATATTGTTTTCCCTCACTGGCTTTCGCTGAAATCCGGAAGTCAGTTCTGTCCCTGGGCATGGGGACAGATAGTCATAACCAATGCCTAAGCAACCACTCACATTTATGTATTTTAATAAAGTTGTGGCAAAAATTATGTCAAAAACCTTAAACAAAAATTATGTGTGAATTGTGAATTATTTAGGGGTGGCTTGGGGGACCTCGACACGCAACATAGATGTGCATCTAAGTGAAGAGAGTGAAGAGTGAAGAGACCCTTATTCTCCTGGTATGTTTATCATTCTTCCTGTTTTCTCAGGAATCTGATTATGATTAATCATTTATTGTACTAATAATTCATTAAGTCAGTCTACATTCGTAGAGAGTGGCGTAATACATTTCTATGTACCATAGCTTCATTATCCTTCATCCTGACTCAGTTTGGTATTTTAATGTACTGAAACAAATAATGCCATAAAGTTCACACAAATTCCTTTAAGGTGTCCTCCTGCCACAATGAAATGTTCAGTTCTGTGCTCCAAGCCAGTTATTTAAATTTCCCTATTATCATAACCTTATCTAAGCACTAAAATGTGATCTAGAAATTCAAAGATGGGAAAGTAGGATATGCAATATGCAATTTCTCTTCTAATGAGTCGTGACTGATTCACAGCTATAATTGAGGGTTGTGTTTTGATTTTGAAATTGGTGTTGTTTCCCCTGTTTTGGCAATCCTTGAATATACTGTGTAGACAGTAGCCCGGTACAAACAACATAATAAGCCAAGCCTTGTCTTAGTGAGACCGCACAATACTGTATTATGGGCTGTAGAAGAGGAGCTTGCAACAGTTTTGCACCTCCCTGGTCATTTTTGGTACGACACCATTCTGAGTTAATCCAGGCTTACAGCAAATGGCCAGAACTTACCCATAAGTCCCAGTTTGCTAAATTCAGTGGCTTAGATCAGCAGAGTGTGGTGCAGCCACAAAAAGGTCCGGGAGCAGTCTGCTCAGCCTCCCTGATGGGCGCCATTGCAGGCTGGCATTCCTCCACATCCCAGGCAGCAAAGGAAGCCTCTGGGCCAGATTGCTGCCTGGGTAATTGGTCCCGCCTACTCACCTAATCAGGACGCGGGTGGCGCTGTGGGTTAAACCACAGAGCCTAGGACTTGCCGATCAGAAGGTCGGCGGTTCGAATCCCCGCGACGGGGTGAGCTCCTGTTGTTTGATCCCTGCTCCTGCCGACTGGACCTAATGGTCAGGGGTCCCTTTACCTTACTCACCTAATCAGCGAATCACAAGCAGGCATGGGCCACCAGGAGGTGTGCTTAGCCCTCCTCTCCATTATATAAAATAGGACCATGGCTTGCTCTGCAGCCACATTTCGTTAGATCTCTCCCCCCGTCCCCTTTATATTGTTACAAAAGCCTGCACCTCTCTCTGCCAAGCATGCATGGGGCCACAGATGCACATACAGGGGCTGTACCCCTTTGGATAATAGAATGCTTTAGGAAAGAGGGTTTGTTTGCCTATTTACACCTTCAGTCTGCATGGAGGAAGTCCAGATCTTACAGCATGAACATTTCCAGGGGCAGCAGCACAAGTACCCCTAAAATATGGCTCAGAGCCTTACTTCTTCCTTCTTCTTCCCAGGAATCCGTGCAGGGAAAGGAGAATGTTAGCCACTTTGAGACTCCTTAGGGTAGCGATAAAGCGGGATATCAAATCCAGACTCCTCCTCCTCCTCCTCCTCCTCCTCCTCTTCTTCTTCTTCTTCAAATCTCCCTCTTTCTGCCCCCCATCGCCTTGGCAATATCTCTCTTTTTTTAAAATAGAAATTTTAATTAGTTTTTTAACATATCATTTTCAACATTAATTAAACATACTTTTACATCTTATTCAATTTTTTTGACTTCCATCAGTCCTGTCTGAAAATTTTCCAGTCTAATCTCTTAGTATGTATTTTTTATTTTCCCTATTACATTTCAAACTCATAACCAATATCTCTATCTTTTTCTACTTTGTAACACTTCGTATATTTTTCCTTACAAAACTTTTTGCAGCCCTACTATCGTAATTTGTTGATTACAGTTGCTCTTCAAATAATTCATATACTTCTTCCAATCTTCTGTAAATCTCTGGTCCCGCAGGTTTCGAATCCTTCCTGTCATTTTGTCCAATTCTGCATAGTCCAATAACTTCGTCTGCCGTTCTTCTTTCGTCAGAATTTCTTCTTGCTTCCATTTCTGGGCTAACAATACTCTTGCCGCTGTTGTTGCATCTAAGTACAGTTTGATATCTTGTCTATTAATGTCTTGGCCTATAATACCAAGTAAAGATGCTTCTGGTTTTTTTAAGAATGTATATTTCAACATCCTTGGCAATATCTCCTCCCCCCACAAGCTAAAGGATCCGTCTCCTCAATGGCCAATCATTGTTCCCCTTAATGGCCAGGCTGGTTTGCATAAGCCAGCCCAGGAATTTCCTAAATTCCATGTCAGGCACAGTTCTGCACTTTAATCCATATCCCAATTAACCAAAACCCTGGCATTTATTAATTTCTAGGGTTTCTCCATATCTATAGCACCATATTGCTGTTGCATGTTGTTCTGCTCACCATGAAGTTGTTACAGCAAGTGCCACATTTTTAACCAGTGCTTTTCTTCTAGAAAAAAAGGTGCTGGAACTGCATACACTTGGGTACCCCCAGAAAAAAAGGACTTTTGGGGGGGTATGGTGCAGGCTTGGTTTAACATTCAATAAAGTGGTCCTTATGGTTCTGGTTGGTTGTCATCCATCTGTCTCGGGAGACAATCGAATAACTCACCTTCAGCAGTGAAGTCAAACCGTGTGGGAGATGTATTGTGTTGAAGCTGGGACAGATGAAGGCGCCCAGTTGTGCTGCTGCAGATGTACCAGTGTGTTTCTTCTTTCTGCGTTCCTCCCAGTGCTCATTCCTCCTCTGGTCCCTGCTGCAGGTACCTTACCTGACTGATTGTCTCCAGGCCCTGAGGTTGTCTACAAGGAATTCTCCCCCCCACACACACACACCATGGCAGGGTTAATGAAGAAGAAGAGTTTGGATTTGATATCCCACTTTATCACTACCCTAAGGAGTCTCAAAGCGGCTAACATTCTCCTTTCCCTTCCTCACCTACAACCAACACTCTGTGAGGTGAGTGGGGCTGAGAGACTTCAGAGAAGTGTGACTAGCCCAAGGTCACCCAGCAGCTGCATGTGGTGGAGTGGAGACGCGAACCCAGTTCACCAGATTACGAGTCTACCACTCTTAACCACTACACCACACTGGTTCTCCAGCTGCCAGCCTCCATGCCACGTTTGCAGATATCTTTCTAACACAGAGTTGTTCTGCCAGTGGGCCTGGTGCCTGAAGGCAGCTCCCCGTAGAGCACATCCTTGGGGATCCTGCCATCTTCCATTCTGTGTACATGACCAATGCAACCAGCTATTCATGCCTGTGTCTTCATAGCAGCCCTCGGCACCAAATCCTGTGTTGGGAAACGCTGAGGCAAATGCCTCTCCCCCAATGCAGCGCCACCCAGGATGCTTCATCACTCTTGTGTCCCACTGTGCTGATGTGGCCCATATCCAAGGACATGAGCACATGACACTAGCAGAGTCCAAACAGAAGCTGAGCCTTGAGGTGTGACATCTAAGCCTAATTTATTATGTGCAAAATCAAACGCAACAGAACAAGGAAAACATGGCTCCTTTCTCTCTCTTCCTCGGAGAGAAAAGCAAAACAAAAGCTATACAGAATGGAACAGCGTATCTGAACTTCCGTTCCCATGGCAGCCAACACTGTGGAATGTAAACACAGACACATGACAACAACAATCACACATCTGCAGCACGGAGGAATGAAATTCCCAACATCCTGTGGTTAATTTGGCAGCAGTTTTTTGTTGTTTTTTTTTTTAAAAAAAACACAAATAGATAATTGTTGTGGGTTAAACCACAGAGCCTAGGACTTGCTGATCAGAAGGTCGGCGGTTCGAATCCCCGCGATGGGGTGAGCTCCCATTGCTCGGTCCCTGCTCCTGCTAACCTAGCAGTTCGAAAGCACGTCAAAGTGCAAGTAGATAAATAGGTACTGCTCCGACGGGAAGGTAAACAGCGTTTCTGTGCGCTGCTCTGGTTTGCCAGAAGTGGCTTAGTCATGCTAGCCACATGACCAGGTCCCTCGGCCAATAAAACAAGATGAGCACCACAACCCCAGAGTTGTCCGCGACTGGACCTAATGGTCAGGGGTCCCTTTACCCTTTACCTACTTATTATAACTGTGGGGGGGGGGACCTCATCTTGCAAGGGTATGCCCTCTCCCTCGTCTCATTGGTGAGGATGCCTTTTCAAATATGATTCCTCCAGCAATGCGTATGCATGTGCTTTAGTTTATTCATATGCTTATGATGGTCTCAAGACCAGTCATCTAGGATGTATTTTATCAGTGACACTGATGTCACTTATTCAGAACAGAAGGTATTCTGTTGTTGTTTTTTAAAAAATAATTTTTATCATGTATAGTATTTTTACTGGGCTCCCTTTGGGGAAGAATGGTGAAATAATGAATAATATACTTTGATGAAATCTAGCTTCTTGGTAGCAACTATCCCTTTGCCGGAAAGAAGACTGAAAATTGAAAACCGTAACAAGAAGCATGTTAAGCTTAGAACCAGTGGCTTAAAAACATTTGATGACACACAATGGCCACTCCCAGCTAGTTTTTAAAGTCTTGTTTTCATTCTGCATTGAGTGCTAGCTATTTTGAACAAACAAAGCTTTGCCAAAGGGAAAGGGAGGCTCATATTATTTCCTTTAAAACTCAGCTTCTGTGGAGGAGCTCACTTTATTTCTAGCCGGTATTAAATCATTGTATAAAATTATTTTCGTCAACAATTTTCCACTCTGGATGAATGGCATTTTTATCATTCCCTATCAAGCAATAAATTAAATTAACTACCGCCATGTGAAGCATACTGCTCTGCTTATTTCAGAATACAGCAGTCTACCTGAGCCATAAATCCGAGTGATCAATAGTTCACAAGGATGTGAATCATCTAATCACTTCTATAGGAATTGAGAATTGTTTCACCCCCTGCACATAACTTCAAATCTCTGAGGCTGTAATTCCATTAAAACCAATGATCCTGTCTTAGTGAAAGCTGGTTACCCTTAACTTCCATTGCAATCAGTGGGGCTTAAATTAAAAAAGGTAAAGGGACCCCTGACCATTAGGTCCAGTCGTGGCCGACTCTGGGGTTACGGCGCTCATCTCGCTTTATTGGCCGAGGGAGCCGGCATACAGCGTCCGGGTCATGTGACCCGCATGACTAAGCCACTTCTGGCAAACCAGAGCAGCGCACGAAAACGCCGTTTACCTTCCCGCCAGAGCGGTACCTATTTATCTACTTGCACTTTGATTGGCTTTCGAGCTGCTAGGTTGGCAGGAGCTGGGACTAAGCAACAGGAGCTCACCCCGTTGCTGGGATTCGAACCGCCGACCTTCTGATCAGCAAGTCCTAGGCTCTGTGGTTTAACCCAAGCGCCACCCGTGTCCCAAGGGGCTTAAATTAGTAACGTATTAATTTCTAACTTAGTTTTACTCAGAATAGCCCCTCTGAAATGAATGGACTTAAGTTAGTCATGTGAATTAATTTCAAACGGTTGACTTTGGGTATGGATACAGCCCATGTAACTTAAGCCCAGTGCTTTTCTCTGGATTGGGGCCAGCAAAGTCACACCACAATTCTAATAAATTGATTATATCAGTCCAGATATTATACCTGCTACTCTGATTTTATCAAGAAGAAATAGAAAATAAAATACGTAACTTCATGATGGATTGTGCCAAGACTCTGAAGACAGTTTGTCGAGATATCCATAAACGATCTTTCTTTGCTTTTCATTTTACATGTCATCTCTCTCCTTTTAAAAAGGGTGATGAGAGAGAGGGGGAAAACATTCCCAATTATGAATTAGATATACAGTTTTCACTCTTTTCTTGGACAGCTTTATTCAGCTGCAACTTAAATATTTTTTTTAAAAATCTAAAAAAGCAGATTGTCAAATTGTATTATTTACAGCATATTCAGGAAAACTAAAAAAAAAAAAAAAGCCATTTGTTGCAGATGCTGCAATCAACAGCTTTGATATATGTATTGAGCCTGAGGCATGCTGGATTTCAATATTGTTTTCCATGAGAGGAAAATGTTTGATGCTGACAAAGGCATATGATCTTACTTTTCTCTCATGTAGGATAATGGGGAAGAGTACACAGGGAGATCACTGGGATGCTACTGTTACCAGAGTCATGAAAACTTGCTCATGGCATGATTTTTAACTTGATTAAAAATAGGATAGGATGCCAGAGGATTTTGGCATTGGCAAATTCTAATGAACGAATTCTAATACAAACAAGGGCTGGCCTAAAATGATAAGAAGCCAATTTTCCCATCCAAATGTGTTCACTGTATACAGGAGTAATAACAAAATAACAGCTGGGGGAAGGGCAGGACCTGGGTTCATATAGGTGGAACATTCTGGAAAAAAAGAAAAATCAGACACTTTTAAGTGACTTTGTATTTTGTATGAGACATCTGTTTGAGCACCAATGCTAATAATCAGCAGTAACACCACAGCCTTCATTTCCTCTGTCTGTAACATAACAAGATTCCTTTTTTAAAAAAAACCCCCAAACTGTTTTCTTTTACCTCCTGCTGACAGCACAACTTTGGAGCTTCTGTATCTAATGCCGTTGGTATTTTAAGATGGAGAGCTCCCTTCGCTGTGGGAATGCAGGAAACTGCGCTGAAGGAGACAACAGTGCCAAGTGGGAACTCCCCAATGGTGTATCAATTATCTCACTGGAGGGCAGTGAATGAACAAGCATAAAGAATGAAGCAGTAATTTGGGAGAATGGGAAATACCCTTCCATTCATCCTGTCTGTGGAGGGGAAAACATTACTTGTCTCTCCCTTATGTATTATGCATTATTATGTCATAATGCAAACTTCAGATTGTCTAGGAACAGTGTAGTTATGTTGGCATGCACAAAATCACCCGGTTCAGAATGCAGATTTGGGCCACTTATGTAGGGTTGCCCTATTTCAAACAGTAAAAACCAGGACACGCCAAAAGTTGCTGAGCATTCTGAGGAAGACCCCAAAATTGTTACAAAAATGCCAAACAAAACCTGCAATTTTTTGACTGACTTGCCTAAGATCCAGGACAAAGCACTACCTTTCAGAAATTCCCCCTGGATGTCAATCCAGCCTTTGAAATTCCAGTAATGTCCGGGAAAATCCCTAACTTATAACACCCTAACTTATGACTGAATTACATGAGTGGCATTTTCTTGATTGAAATGTATAATGAGGTTCTGTACTGGTGTTTTAGCCTTTCACTAGTCCTGTCAGGAGCTGGGAAGAAACAAAAGCTTGGCTTCCTCTGTACTGAAGCCAAAGCTCTGACTTTGGGGACTCCCTAGAAACCTAGAGGAGGAAGATCTGCTGGAGTGTTAAAGCTGTGAGCTCTTCCATTTTCTGCTCTCTCTGTATTTATCTGTAAATAAAACCAAATATTACAAAGACACCAGAGTTTCCAGTGACCTTCATTCCCAGGAAACTGAACCCAAAGTATGTGCTGGCACCCCTGAAGTCTCTCAGCCCTAAGAGATTGGGGTAAGCCTAACCCTATTTAATTCCTAGCCTTCCCAAGCATCAGTGGCAAATTGGGGGAGGCTGTTTTGCAGCAGACCAGAGTAAGTGAAAACATCTCCCTTTCCAAGGCCAGCAAAGCTAACAAATTTCCAAGGCCAGCAAAGCTAACAAATTCCTACCCCACCTTGAATATGCAATGTGTGGGCTAAAATGTCTGAAGTAAGGGAGGTCTTTGAGACTTTCACTGCCACCATGTCTAAAGCAGTACAAATAAGGGTTCTGTCACCCCAAATATGTGGGAATGTTCAGGGAGGCGGGAGAGGATATATTGTTTATTAAAATCCTTCCTAACTTACGGTAGCAAGTTCGATAACTTAGCAGAGTTTTACATTCCCCTTTTTAAACGCACAGCAGATAGTTTGTTGCAGGCTTTTGTAAGCCTCTCACTATCATACAATTCAGTATTGAATTGTATGTTCCTGGAAAATTCCCTTTTAATCCCTCTTAAAAAGAATAAACACGCCACAATCTTGTGTAAAGTATATAAAATAAGTTTACTCACATCATCAGTTCACAGTTGGATCCCTGAAGGCAGACTTAGTTACAAAGTATGTACATTTGGATCTACCCCATATGGGGGGATAACTCCAGTGACTACAGACTAGCAGTTCCCACGATGAAAGGAAGATGGAAAAGAGTTGAAAAGAAGGAATTGTGCTGCGTGCCTTGCCCTTTTGTTACCTGGGCCGGCAAGGTCACGCCCACCTCTAGTCACATGCAAGAGGAAGGATGCCCCAGGCCAGGAAGAAACAGGAAGTTTTTGACTGGCTGGACCAAACATTCCCCCACATTTCTTCTCTAGGAAAACAAGGAATGTTGTACTTGACTGCTACTTATGTATCACATCCCACGGGCATGTTTGTTTCCTATGGGTGGGGATACACAAGGTCAAAGCTACAAGGCCTAGGCACACTTCACCATTAAGCAAGAGCCTTTGGCTCATCCCAACCCTTATGAGTTAGGGGGGGAAAACCATACACACATAGTGCAGAGAAGCTGCATTAGCACAGAACTCAAATATTGATATGATCCCAAATTCAGAGACAGAAAAAAGGCATTTTTAATGCATATTTTGATCAACACAAGTTTTATATTTGGTTTACAAAGCAGTCTGAAGTCAGAGTTTCATGCATGCAGATGCTCTCTCCCTCCACCTCCACTTTTAAAAATGGTGCCTATTTTGCAAGCTCATTCTGTTCCCCCACCAACCTGTTTCCAACAAAAGAAAGTTTTAGCCCAGGAAAGCATTTTTAAACAAGTACATCTTCCTGCTCAATTCTTAATATTAAAAAGGCATTAGTTTGCCTCTGCAAAACGCTTAACCTTTTTGGAGGCAGGAGGATCTATAGATCTGTTTATATTTGCCTCAGCATTCTGTCCCTCTCTGTGGCATTTAAATAATTAACCATGAACTATAATCTAGTAATGCCTCTTCTAGAAGCAAATTTCTTGCTTATCTTGTCTGTCTTTGGGAGGAAGAGATGTCATTTTAATTATACCTTGCCCATTCCGACTGATAGCAGAAAGGTAAATGAGGTGTTCATAAAACTGACCTTATATTGGAATTCCCAAGCCTGGTCTCTGGTTTGCATACTGCAGCTTCATTTAATCTTGCTCTTTAAGTTATTCCAATTGAGAACATTTGCTGGGCCTTCTGGTTCATTTTAAATTTCCAGAGCAATGTTACCGGTTCCATCTTTAACCCTATGCGGAGAGAAAATGTATTTTCCACAGATTCGGAAATGTATTTCCCCCTGTCCCTTTCTTTAATTCTTAATGGGGAGGGGGCTCTATAGCCCTCAGTCTAATTTATTGAGGTTTGGAGGGGGGAACAGAGGAAGAAAATGGCTGTTGGGGGGGATACTGAAATGTGTGGGGCAACAGAAAAAAGGAAAACATAACTGAAACAGATCAGTTCTGGCCTCTGGCATGGAAAGGGGGCAAGGGGAAAAAGGTTAAGTCAAAATAGACAGAGGGATGAATGATGAGGGAACCTTCAGATTTGTGTCAGGATGATATGTACCAGTGTCAACTTAGAGATGAGGGAGGAATTTGATTTAGTTTGCACTTAAAGACAAATGTATCAATTCACACTTTCTGAAACATCACAAACTGAAACACACTGAATTTTGCAATGCAGTTCCCCATCAAGCCAATATTTACAACACACACAAACACACACACACACACAGAGAGAGAGAGAGAGAGAGAGAGAGAGAGAGAGAGAATACAGTGGTACCTCGGGTTACATATGCTTCAGGTTACAGACTCTGCTAACCCAGAAAACTACCTCAGGTTAAGAACTTTGCTTCAGGATGAGAACAGAAATCATGCTCCGGTGGCGCGGCGGCACCATTAGCTAAAGTGGTGCTTCAGGTTAAGAACAGTTTCAGGTTAGGAACGGACCTCCAGAATGAATTAAGTACGTAACCAGAGGTACCACTGTATATTTGTGAAACTTTCATACAAAAATGCAGTGTATTAGGGGAAAAATACTTGCAAATATGCGTATATAAATCAAAACTGCCTATAATACATATGTTCAAGAGAAAAAATTCACAGTAAAATGTGAATGAAATTTCTTCAGGATTTTATTTTTTTTTAGGAAAAAAAATCACAAATTTCAGCAGAAAACTGGGAACTAAATTTAAGATTGGAAAAAGGTAAAATGGAGAGGACCAAAAAGCTGGCATATCTTCTATGCCTACTCCAGCAGCTGTCTGAATAGGGGGGAAGAGGGAGGGGGAAAATGAACATAAATGAAAGCATTAAGGCAAGGAGTGAAGTTGTTCTATCTGGTCTAGGGACGCATTCCATTATAAACGGTAGAATTGTAGAGTTGGAAGAGACCACAAGGGTTATCTTAGTCCAACCCCCTGCAATGCAGAAATCTTTTGCCCAATGTGGGGCTCAAACCTACAACACTGAGGTTAAGAGTCTTGCAGTATGCCTGGAGTGGGCAGGACCAGAACCAAATGTGGGGAGTGCACCCTCCAGCTCTTTTCAGATTCTATATTGAATATTAGATATCAAGTTGAGTAAGACCGCGGGTGTACTGGCTCTATCCCAACCCTTCTGCATCGAACAATTTACAACTGCATGCTCTTAGAAGCCTCTATGGAATCAGAAATCTCAATAGGGCAAAGTTCATTACAGTGGTACCTCGGGTTAAGTACTTAATTCGTTCCGGAGGTCCATTCTTAACCTGAAACTGTTCTTAACCTGAAGCACCACTCTAGCTAATGGGGCCTGCTGCTGCTGCCGCGCCACAGGAGCATGATTTCTGTTCTCATCCTGAAGCAAAGTTCTTAACCCAAGGTACTATTTCTGGGTTAGTGGAGTCTGTAACCTGAAGCGTATGTAACCTGAAGCGTATGTAACCTGAGGTACCACTGTATTATACATAGTCTTCTAAGCATCTTTAGCTGAAGACACTTAGAGTCCCTCGTCAGACCTTCATATCCAATGCATGAAGGCTAGGGTTGAACATGTAGGGGGGCCATGTGCATGTGGCAGTTGGGGGTGGAGTAAGCAGAACACCCCCATGGTCCTAGGCAGGTTTCTATTCTGTATCCCGGCGTAACTTCTGAATATGGCACTGGACCAGAAGAAAGTCCATCACTCCTGCCTTCATTCTTCCATTGCAATAGGCAGTTACATTTACGGGTGTGAATATATCTGCCGAGGTGGAAATTCCAAAACAGCGGCAAAGCAAAATGACAGTTGACAGATGTTTCCTCTGCAAAATGGCCTGAAATAGTCACACTGAATCATGTCACTTTCAGAAGAAGTCACAAATGCCACAGTTCTAGAGATGCACAAGCACCCTGATGTTCACCCTGAAAGGTGTCAAGGCTTCTCCCCCCGCCAAGCATTCCAAAAGAAAGTTTCTAAAGTATTGAGCTTCCCCCGCCTTGCCCATTTTTGCACATATTCCATTTGTGCAAGTATAGAAGACAATGAGGAAGTGCCCTACTTTAAATGGCTTAGCCTTTATTTCATGGCGGAGCAGGGAAAGGCAGCTGGCACTTTCAAGTCCCAGGGGAACAACTTTCCAGTCCCAGAATCCCTGCCAGAAAATGGATGCTTTGTGTATAAGGGGCTTTCAGAAGCCTCTGAGGCCACAGAAGAAGTGATGCATCAGGGATTTGAAGATATGAGAGAGAGAGAGAGAGAGAGAGAGAGAGAGAGAGAGAGAGGTAACCACTCCTACCAATGATTAAATCTTAT